GTTCAGTAGCAGTGACGTTCAGTAGTAGTGACGTTCAATACTGACGACGTTCAGTAGCAGTGACGTTCAGTAGTAGTGACGTTCAATACTGACGACGTTCAGTAGCAGTGACCTTCAGTAGTAGTGACGTTCAATACTGACGACGTTCAGTAGCAGTGACCTTCAGTAGTAGTGACGTTCAATACTGACGACGTTCAGTAGCAGTGACGTTCAGTAGTAGTGACGTTCAATACTGACGACGTTCAGTAGCAGTGACCTTCAGTAGTAGTGACGTTCAATACTGACGACGTTCAGTAGCAGTGACGTTCAATACTGACGACGTTCAGTAGCAGTGACGTTCAGTAGTAGTGACGTTCAATACTGACGACGTTCAGTAGCAGTGACGTTCAGTAGTAGTGACGTTCAATACTGACGACGTTCAGTAGCAGTGACCTTCAGTAGTAGTGACGTTCAATACTGACGACGTTCAGTAGCAGTGACCTTCAGTAGTAGTGACGTTCAATACTGACGACGTTCAGTAGCAGTGACGTTCAGTAGTAGTGACGTTCAATACTGACGACGTTCAGTAGCAGTGACCTTCAGTAGTAGTGACGTTCAATACTGACGACGTTCAGTAGCAGTGACGTTCAATACTGACGACGTTCAGTAGCAGTGACCTTCAGTAGTAGTGACGTTCAATACTGACGACGTTCAGTAGCAGTGACCTTCAGTAGTAGTGACGTTCAATACTGACGACGTTCAGTAGCAGTGACCTTCAGTAGTAGTGACGTTCAATACTGACGACGTTCAGTAGCAGTGACGTTCAGTAGTAGTGACGTTCAATACTGACGACGTTCAGTAGTAGTGACGTTCAGTAGTAGTGACGTTCAATACTGACGACGTTCAGTAGCAGTGACCTTCAGTAGTAGTGACGTTCAATACTGACGACGTTCAGTAGCAGTGACGTTCAATACTGACGACGTTCAGTAGCAGTGACGTTCAGTAGTAGTGACGTTCAATACTGACGACGTTCAGTAGCAGTGACGTTCAGTAGTAGTGACGTTCAATACTGACGACGTTCAGTAGCAGTGACGTTCAGTAGTAGTGACGTTCAATACTGACGACGTTCAGTAGCAGTGACCTTCAGTAGTAGTGACGTTCAATACTGACGACGTTCAGTAGCAGTGACGTTCAGTAGTAGTGACGTTCAATACTGACGACGTTCAGTAGCAGTGACCTTCAGTAGTAGTGACGTTCAATACTGACGACGTTCAGTAGCAGTGACCTTCAGTAGTAGTGACGTTCAATACTGACGACGTTCAGTAGCAGTGACGTTCAGTAGTAGTGACGTTCAATACTGACGACGTTCAGTAGTAGTGACGTTCAATACTGACGACGTTCAATAGAAGTGACCTTTAGTAGTAGTGACGTTCAATACTGACGACGTTCAGTAGTAGTAACGTTCAATAGTAGTGACGTTCAATACTGACGACGGCCTTTCTTTTAGTTATGACTCTGAGTACTGACGATGTTCAGTAGTATTGACGTTGAGTAGAAGTGACTTTCAATACTGCCGACGTTCAATAGAAGTGATGTTTAGTAGTAGTGACGTTCAATACTGACGACGTTCAATAGAAGTGACGTTTAGTAGTAGTAACGTTCAATAGAAGTGATATTCAGTAGTAGTGACGTTCAATACTGCCGACGTTCAATAGAAGTGACGTTTAGTAGCAGTAACGTTCAATAGTAGTGACGTTCAATACTGACGACGTTCAGTAGTAGTGACGTTCAATACTGCCGACGTTCAATAGAAGTGACGTTTAGTAGAAGTGACTTTTAATACTGCCGACGTTCAATAGAAGTGATGTTTAGTAGTAGTGACGTTCAATACTGACGACGTTCAGTAGTAATGATGTTCAATAGTAGTGACTTTTAATACTGACGACGTTCTTTAGTTATGACTTTCAGTACTAACGACGTTCAGTAGCAGTGACGTTCAATAATAGTGACGTTCATTAGTGATGACGTTCAATAGTTGTGACGTTCAGTGGTAGTGACATTCAGTAGTAGTGACGTTCAATACTGACGACGTTCTTTAGTTATGACTTTCAATACTGACGACGTTCAATACTAGTGACGTTCATTAGTGATGACGTTCAATAGTAGTGACGTTCAATAGTAGTGACGTTCAGTAGTAACGTTCAATACTGACGATGGTGGTGACGTTCAGTAGCGGTAACGTTCAATAGTGGTGTCATTGACTAGTGACGATGTTCGGTAGTGGTAACAGAGCAACAGAGCAAGACTAGCCCCTGCACGAGTTATAGATCTGCTGTTCATCGATGTCAGTCACATGTAAGGAATGAGATATAAATTATTTCAAAGAGTCAGTGGGGCGGTCGGGTAGCCCAGTGTTCAAAGCTGTCGCTAGTCACGCCGAAGACCCTGGTTCGATTCCCGACATGGGTACAATGTGTGAAGCCCATTTCTGGTGTCCCCCGCTGTGATATTGCTGGAATATTGCTAAAAGCGGCATAAAACCATACTCACTCACTCACTCACTCAAAGAGTCAGGCGTTTCCACCAGCGTCCAACGCTATTTAACAGTGGTGACGTTGAATACTGACGACGTTCATTAGTGGTGACGTTCAATACTGATGACGTTGAATCCTGACAACGTTCATTAGTGATGACGTTCAATATTGACGATGTTCATTAGTGGTGACGTTCAATACTGATGACGTTGAATACTGACAACGTTCATTAGTGATGACGTTCAATACTGACGATGTTCATTAGTGATGACATTCAATACTGACGACGTTCATTAGCGATGACGTTCAATACTGAAGACGTTCATTAGTGATGACGTTCAATACTGACGACGTTCATTAGTTATGACGTTCAATACTGATGACGTTCATTAGTGATGACGTTCAATACTGACGACGTTGAAAACTGACGACGTTCATTAGTGATGACGTTCAATACAGACGATGTTCACTAGTGATGACGTTCAATACTGACGACGTTCATTTGTGGTGACGTTCAATACTGACGACGTTCATTAGTGATGACGTTCAATACTGACGACGTTCATTAGTGATGAGGGGCGGTCGGGTAGCCTAGTGGTTAAAGCGTTAGCTCGTCATGCCGCAGACCCGGGTTCGATTCCCGACATGGGTACAATGTGTGAAGCCCATTTCTGGTGTCCCCCGCCGTGATATTCCTGGAATATTGCTAAAAGCGGCGTAAAACCATACTCACTCACTCACTCATTAGTGATGACGTTCATTAGTGATGACGTTCAATATTGACGACGTTCATTAGTGATGACGTTTAATACTGATGACGTTCAATACTGACGATGTTCATTAGTGGTGACGTTCAATACTGACGACGTTCATTAGTAATGGCGTTCAATACTGACGACGTTCATTAGTGATGACGTTCAATACTGACGATGTTCATTAGTGGTGACGTTCAATACTGACGATGTTCATTAGTAATGACGTTCAATACTGACGACGTTCATTAGTGATGACGTTCAATACTGACGATGTTCATTAGTGGTGACGTTCAATACTGACGACGTTCATTAGTGGTGACGTTCAATACTGACGATGTTCATTAGTAATGACGTTCATTAGTGATGACTTCAATACTGACGATGTTCATTAGTGGTGACGTTCAATACTGACGACGTTCAATACTGCCGGCGTTCATTAGTAATGACGTTCAATACTGACGACGTTCATTACTGGTGACGTTCAGTACTGACGACGTTCATTAGTAATGACGTTCAATACTGACGACGTTCATTAGTGGTTACGTTCAATACTGACGACGTTCATTAGTGGTGACGTTCAGTACTGACGACGTTCATTAGTAATGACGTTCAATACTGACGACGTTCATTAGTGGTGACGTTCAATACTGACGACGTTCATTAGTGGTGACGTTCATTAGGGATGACGTTCAATACTGACGACGTTCAATACTGACGACGTTCATTAGTGATGACGTTCAATACTGACGATGTTCATTAGTGGTGACGTTCAATACTGACGACGTTCAATACTGACGACGTTCATTAGTGGTGACGTTCAATACTGACGACGTTCATTAGTGGTGACGTTCAATACTGACGACGTTGAATACTGACGACGTTCATTACTGACGACGTTCATTGGTGGTGACGTTCAATACTGACGACGTTCATTAGTCGTGACGTTCAATACTGACGACGTTCATTAGTAATGACGTTCAATACTGACGACGTTCATTAGTGGTGACGTTCAATACTGACGACGTTCAATACTGACGACGTTCATTACTGACGACGTTCATTAGTGGTGACGTTCAATACTGACGACGTTCATTAGTGGTGACGTTCAATACTGACGACGTTCATTAGTGGTGACGTTCAATACTGACAACGTTCATTAGTGGTGACGTTCAATACTGACGACGTTCATTACTGGTGACGTTGAATACTGACGACGTTCATTAGTGGTGACGTTCAATACTGACGACGTTCATTACTGGTGACGTTCAATACTGACGACGTTCATTAGTGGTGACGTTCAATACTGACGACGTTCATTAGTGATGACGTTCAATACTGACGACGTTCATTACTGGTGACGTTCAATACTGACGACGTTCATTACTGGTGACGTTCAATACTGACGACGTTCATTACTGGTGACGTTCAATACTGACGACGTTCATTAGTGGTGACGTTCAATACTGACGACGTTCATTAGTGGTGACGTTCAATACTGACGACGTTCATTAGTGGTGACGTTCAATACTGACGACGTTCATTAGTGGTGACGTTCAATACTAAAAGGGACACGGTGGAAGAAACCTGTGATGGTGGGTTCGAATTCCGATTTGTCCTGATTATGTTTCTTGGTGTGGCAGCACCATCTTTTCCCTAACATGATGCTGACAAGTCGTAATAAAAACGAAATACTTTTCAACGCGTCGTCCCTTTTAATAAAAACAAAGAAAAACTTGTTTGGATTTTTTTTCACGTATCAGGCCTATATACAAAGTTAAGATGAGGCATAGTTCGGTAAAATGTGTAATTGAACTCAAACATTCCTTTATATTCTAGGGCAGTCCTGTTTCTCAACCATTCCTCCATGCAGTCGAATGTCTGTGGCTGATAGTCGACATAAAACTTGTTGGCAAATAATTCCCTCCTCGACGTCAACAAGGGGAGATCACTCATACCAAACACGCAAACGTTATGGTTGCGTACACCGCCGCAGGGCCAATCAAAAGACTTCTCTCCCCATTGAGGTCCCCAATTTTTGAAGCGAGCTATATAGGGTTTCTTGTCATAATCCGTGTCCACCGGACCTGCAAGGAAAAAGTGAATGGGTGAATTATGTTTGTTAATGCCGCTTTGAAAGATATTTCTGTGTGTCAGCTTTATGCATGAGGAAAGCCTGAATTGATGCAGGACTTAGTCTCTTAACTATTTGGTGAGTCGGTGAAATTGGTCTGACGCCACTTTGAACAGTATTCCAGTTATATCACAGCGTATCTACTTTATATGTGAGGAAAATCTGAAGTAGTGACGTGAAGCAGTGAACTGTGAGTGAGTGAGTATGGTTTTACGCCGCTTTTAGCAATATTCCAGCAATATCAAGGCGGGGGACACCAGAAATGGGCTTCACACATTGTACCCATGTCGGGAATCGAACCCGGGTCTTCGGCGTGACGAACGCTTTAACCGCTAGGCTACCCGACCGCCTCAGTAGTGAACTGTGCGTGAGCGAGTGAGTAGGGCCTAACGCCGCTTTGAACAGTATTCCAGTGATATCACAGCCTGTCGGCTAAACCAATGTCCAAAACAAACGATACGAACTAATTTTTTTTTAAATATTTTTGTTATAAGTGTTTCATTTTATATGAAAACATACTTAAACATATCCAACGTACCAAGCCAAATATAATTGGCGGGGAAAAGCGGGAAAATATGACAATTTGTGTAAGCATTTGGCACTTTGCAAAAACGATGTCAGGTGCCGTAGCACGAAATGCACGTGCAGATCTACTTATAAAACTGCAGAACCGACACCAAAAAGCACACCAAAGAAATAGAACGTTCAACTGCGTCTTTATTGGCCTGTCCGTCTCCATGTTAAGGTTTGATGTAATCACGTTTTGTGCACATGATGTTAAAAGATTGCTCTAATGAAATATACCAATGTAAATTTTATATATGGTTTTGCTTTTCTTCCATTACCTTTCAAACAACACATGGTTTCGTTTGGACATTGTGTGTGTGTGTGTGTGTGTGTGTGTGTGTGTGTCTGTGTGTCTGTCTGTCTGTCTGTCTGTGTCTGTGTGTATGTCTATGTGGGGAAACCCAGGAGCACGGGTGTAGAGCTTACCTGACAAGCCTATAAACATAATCAGTCAACGCTGGATTCGAACCCAAGATCATAGGGTTCTGGCAAGCATAAGGGATGCAACTCTTCATAGCAAATTGCGTCGCTTTAGACAACAGGACCAGCCATACCCCCTGATATATTTAGTATCGGCGTGAAAGTTAGTGGTTTGGTAGGTTAGTACCTTGAGGATTGGACACCTGTGAGAATTTGATAGGTTAGTGGTTGAATGAGTGAGGGAGTGTGCCGTACGAGTGATTGGTTGTGTCGGTTTATGTTTGAGTGAGTGAGTGGGTTTATGAATTAGTATGTGGTTGGTTGGATGTATGAATTATGTGAGTGAGTGGGTTTATGAATGAGAATATTAATGTGGTTGGTTGGGTGTATACATTGTGTGAGTGAATGGGTTTATGAATGAGAATGTGGTTGGTTGGGTGTATACATTGTGTGAGTGAGTGGGTTTATGAATCATAATGTGGTTCATTGGGTGTATACATTGAATGAGTGAGTGGGATTATGAATGAGTATGTGGTTGGTTGGGTGTATGAATTGTGTGAGTAAGTGGGTTTCAATTTCAATTTCAATTTCTTTATTCAACGTACTGAGGAGGCCACAGGCCTATAGTACCATTGTACATTTAAGTTTAAACTATTATTGACCACTAGCAACATCGAAACCATAAGAAATCTTTCTATGTACATATATCATGCTTTTATACAAAGAAAATCAAGTTTGGAACTTATATGATTGTACCAATTGCTCCTGTAATCATGATTGTACTATAGGCCTGTGGCCTCCTCAGTACGTTGAATAAAGAAATTGAAGTGGGTTTATGAATCATAATGTGGTTCATTGGATGTATACATTTAAGGGATGAAAGGGATTAATGAGTGAGGATGTGAACTAGTTGCGTGTATACAGTGAGTGAGTGAGTGGGTTCATGAGTGAGGATGTGATTAGTTGCGTGTATACATTGAGTGAGTGAGTGGGTTCATGAGTGAGGATGTGATTAGTTGCGTGTATACATTGAGTGAGTGAGTGGGTTCATGAGTGAGGATGTGGCTGGTGTGGTGTAGTGACTCTAGGTTTGAATAGCTATGCGTGGGTGTCCTGCTCATGCCCGTTTATTGAAGTAGGACGTTAACACTCGCTGAGTTTAGAATGGTCAACCTGTATGGAAGCAGTGGACCCGCCAAGGAACTATGTACACGCTCTAACAATTGATGAGAGTTATTTTCATCAGTTTTTTATTCAAAATTCATAACCGATCTATTTTGAGAATTATTTTACCCTGGTAAATCATATATTTATTGTGATATTCTTTGCGATTTTTGCGCTCCAAACTGTTTGTAAACAATCATCTTATTTCGGTTGTAATCCATTTCGGCATTTCGAAACCAACTTTACCTGTTGATGATCCGGGGATGTGGAGTTGCGGATTGTGATTCAAAGTGGCGAAAAACGTTTCATCGGGAACTTTAGTGTGTGTTAGCCATCTTGTAAAGTCCTTTGCAATGGGGTTGTTGATGGCGTAGTCGACGAAGTCCCTGTTTACAGCAACATGGACGTTGCCTTTGTAGAGCGAGATGTTGTGGGGCGGAGGACCCGCCATGTCCCAACGACGCCATCTCCATCGCCTGCAGTGAAGAGACAAGATGGCTCTTAGTCGGTTAATCCATTAGCTTGCCCTTATCTGGCCTACACCTTATATCCCCTACACCTCATCTGGCCTACACCTTATATCCCCTACACCTCATCTGGCCTACACCCTATATCGCCTACACCTCATCTGGCCTACACCTTATATCGCCTACACCTCATCTGGCCTACACCTTATATCGCCTACACCTCATCTGGCCTACACTAAATACAAATGGTTACTTCCACACCCCTGTTGTGTAGAATGGTACTGTCCATTAACCCATTAATGATTTCATTCATTAGTATGAATCAATGACCTTAGTACATGGCCCTTTCAACTAATTTATGGTCTATATCAGCTGTATTATATAACGTCAATACATCACGGGTTTGTATTACGACGTTCCTCCATCAAGGCGTGTGTAGGCTCCTACAGTTGAGAGCGTGATCGGATTTAGTGTGGAATGGGGGTAATTTTATAATATAGGCTGTGGAGGTCTGTATTAAGAGAGAGTAATGAGCCTTTACGGCCTCGTTTCATTAGTTTGCTGAAAACACACACGCGTCCCCACTGCACTGCATAGCAACCGTATGTATTCACGAGAGATGGAAGAACGTAGTGTATAGGGACTTCACAACAAAGTGGCCGTATGTATTCACGGCAGATGGAGGAACGTAGTGTATAGGGACTTCACAATAAAATAGTCGTATGTATTCACGGGAGATGGAGGAACGTAGTGTATAGGGACTTCACATCAAAGTGGCCGTATGTATTCACGGGAGATGGAGGAACGTAATGTATAGGGACTTCACAACAAAGTGGCCGTATGTATTCACGGGAGATGGAGGAACGTAGTGTTTAGGGACTTCACAACAAAGTGGCCGTATGTATTCACGGGAGATGGAGGAACGTAGTGTATAGGGACTTCACAACAAAGTGGCCGTATGTATTCACGGGAGATGGAGGAACGTAGTGTATAGGGACTTCACAACAAAGTGGCCGTATGTATTCACGGGAGATGGAGGAACGTAGTGTATAGGGACTTCACATCAAAGTGGCCGTATGTATTCACGGGAGATGGAGGAACGTAGTGTATAGGGACTTCACAACAAAGTAGTCGTATGTATTCACGGGAGATGGAGGAACGTAGTGTATAGGGACTTCACAACAAAGTGGCCGTATGTATTCACGGGAGATGGAGGAACGTAGTGTATAGGGACTTCACAACAAAGTGGCCGTATGTATTCACGGGAGATGGAGGAACGTAGTGTATAGGGACTTCACATCAAAGTGGCCGTATGTACTCACGGGAGTCCAGGCTGACGAGGTTTCTCTGTACCAAGGTTTTTTATATAGAGTGAGTGAGTTTGGTTTAACGCTGCTTTTAACATTATTCTAGTTATATCACGGCGTGTCAGCTTAATGTTGGAGGAAAGCCCGAAGTGATGCAGTTCTCAGAAGTTTACCACTTCGATCAGTGAAGCCTACGAGTATGATGCTGACATAGAAACCTAAACGGGGCAAACCGGGATTCGAACCCACAATCATAGGTTTCTGGCGTGTCCAAGGGACGCAACTCTGCACAGCAAGTCGCGGCGCCTTAGAGGACTAAAACAGTGCCCCCTAATATCTTTAGAAATGTGAGTGAGTGAGTGAGTATGGTTTTACGCCGCTTTTAGCAATATTCCAGCAATATCACGGCGGGGGACACCAGAAATGGGCTTCACACATTGTACCCATGTCGGGAATCGAACCCGGGTCTTCGGCGTGACGAACGAACGCTTTAACCACTTGGCTACCCGACCGCCCCCTTGAGAAATGTGACACAGCGTGTGACGTGATATATACTTACGACTGACTATTTGCATCAACGATGTTAGCTCCTTTCATTATCTTCAAAATCCTGACAATTTCGAGATTGGTCTTGAGAGGATATTCCTGCCCGGTCAGATTGATAAAGTATCGCCACCCTGGATGTCCCAGCAGGTCTTCCATACACGACAGATCGGCCCCAAGGACTGAAAACTCCCCCCACACAACACCGAACACCTTTGTAGGAGTGAACACATTTGGCAAACAGTTCACAATGTGTTTTATATCATTTTTGACCAACTCAGATGCATTTTTGTCGACATGAATACAATAGAAGTTCGTTGGTCTATAAATGGTTCTCAGAAGCCTCTCCACCTGCTCCACATCCTTGTACATCACTATACTAAACGCAAGAGGGAACCCAGTCTCTTCGGCGCTTGCGTTTAGGATATATGGACACTCCTTTAAAAATGTTTCGCAGTCCCTCGCCATATTTAAGCAATGAGTGTTCCGTGTATAGGGATGGCGTTTGGCATAACTAAAAGCTCTCCTTATCCGTTCCCCATCTCCTTCTATTAGAGCTTCGCAGGGCGGTTTCTCATCAAATGTCACATTTAAACGAGTCATTTGGCTTGATTTGACAAGCGATGATTTTGAGAACTTTGATTCAGGCAAACTCACATGTCTGATCAGCGTTCTTCGTTCTGCTTTCCCTTCAATAAGCACGGTCACATTTATTTGTTTCTTTACGTTTCCTAGCAACGCGTATAATCCTGCACTGAGTGCTACTGAGGTTACTGTCAATGCAACAAGGACATATTTGATCCTTTTGTGTACGACCATTGCAGCTTTCAGCACAGAAAGTCTAGAAAATAAACACACGTCATCATTTCATGGGAACGAGGCGATGGAGGGCCCCTAACCAGAGGGGTACAAAGGAAATAGGTTGAAGACATTGTACACAGGAAGGGGAATCGAACCCAAGCGTTTGACCTGATGAGCTGACGCTTCACCACCTTGGCTATGACCAGGTGGGCTTTATGAGTTTGTGCAGCTTCCCAAGGCAAGGGAGTAAATTAACCGTAAAAGTCCAGTTTACACTCATGCCGAACTAGGCAGGAATTTCTGATTTCGATCCTAGTGCAACCAGTGGCTATTACGAATTATATCCTTCTTTGTCCCTCCTGTTTTGTACGACCAATGCAGCTTTCAGCACAGGAAGTCTACAAAATAAACACACATCATCATTTCATGGGAGCGAGGCAATGGAGGGCCCCTTACCAGGGGTACAGAAGGTTATGGGTTGGAGACATTGTACACAGATGGGGAATCGAACCCAAGCGTTTGACCTGATGAGCTGACGCTTCACCGCCTTGGATATGTCACCGGCGCTACATCTAGAGATAGAAATATGAGCATGATTATGAAAACCTCTAAGCCGCTGAATTATCTACCATTTCTGTTAGAAGGTCGCCACAACGAACCAAAGCTAAATGCATGAAATTGCTACTTGTGGGCGTTGAGTACCCTAGTGGTTTAAGCGTCCGCTCGTAACGCCAATGACCTCGGTTCGATTCCCCACTTGGTAACAATGAGCGAGGCCCATTACTGGTGTCCCCCGCCGTGATATTGCGGGAATATTGCTAAAAGCGGCGTAAAACCATATTCACTCATTCACGCTACACGGGCTTACAACTCAATGTGGAGGCCCCCTCTGTTGTCTAATGGATAGTGCACCTGCCCGGAGAGCAGAAGGTCGGTGGTTCGAACCCCTAGCCAAAAGAACAAACTACATGTACTTCAAAAGATGGGACTTGGGACATTAAGGGGACGAAAAAGGACTGGTCGAGTTTACAGTATCTGAATAGGGTATCCATGTTATCTCCGGTATCTCAGAGGGCTAACACTATATAATCGGCGTTTGTCCAGACTTACGCCCCGTCACCAACACAAAATGTACGTACTTATCAATGTAACTCCGACGCCTCCTTGGTCTAGTGGTAGAGCGTCCGCCCGGAGAGCGAAAGGTCCGGGGTTCGATCCCCGGCCGCGTCATACAAAAAGACGTTAAAAGATGGTACTTGTTGTTACCCTGTCTGGCGCTCGATATTAAGGGGCTAAAACAAGGACTGGTCGGCTCGGAGTCAGTATACTGTGTCTGAGTGGGGTATTCATGTTAAACGGCGGCATGGTATCTCAGTGAGCACTGATAAATCGGCATCAGTCCGGACTAGTACAAGCAGCCACACACACACACACACACACACACACACACACACACGTGCATGCATGTCGCTATATAAGTGCAATAATCTTGGACGCGACGTTAAACCCAATTTCACCTCACCTCAATGTAACTCCCCAAACACGAGTACCAATTTTCAAAGTATATAAGATGTTAAGTATACATAGAGCTGAAACGACTGGCACCAGATGTGCTTTATGAGTTTGTACAGCTTCCCAAGGCAAGGGAGTCAACTAACTGTAAAAGTCCAGTTTCAACTCTTGCCGAACTAGGCAGGAATTTCTGGGTTCGATCCTAGTGCCACCAGTGGCTATTACGAGTTATATCCTTCTTTGTCCCTCCTATTGACTAATCAGATTCCGTGTCTCATATCACTTGCTTCAAAGCAAAATGGCGGAGCCCAGTGAAGACGATCTGATTGGTATCAAGATCTGTATTGTAATAAAACGGGTGCAGTGCATGAAATCACTTGAGCACCTTGATTAAGAGCATGAAAAAAAATATCTGTTGAAGCTAAGCTGACGGTACACATGCTTTGCAAATCCTGCAATCGACCAAAATCTGCACGGCAGTGTATGAACCGGATGTTGATTTCGTTACATCATTTTGATTGGACTATGCAAAGGCTCGTTAGTCCAGCCAAAATATAACTCTGTAATTCCAGCCTAGTTCGGCAAGGGTGGCAACTGGACTTTTATAGTCAGTTAACTCCCTTGCCTCGGGAATATGGGTTGATGCAGCTTGAAACCTTATTTCAGTGACCTTTTGTGTGTCTTGATAGGCCATAGGGGAGGAGAGCAGGTCATGTACGATTTCTCCATTTGAGTGAAACCTACGAACACAGTGCATTTCAAGTTAAAGATCATTGGATTCTGGTACGTCTCAGGGGACGTAACTCTGCACAAGGAATAATGGCGCCTTAGACGACTGGACCATCTGTGCCCCTCGTGAATAGAAGATAGAAATCTAGGACATCGAGAAATATGTGCTTTTTTGTGAATTGTTATGATGTAGTTAGAAAACCACAAAAACATTCCTAAAACTATTATCCTGGAGTTAATAGACTGAATCTGAATTGTTATAATACTAATTAACTGAAATCATATTAATTGAACGAAAACATTTGCGATATAATATGCTAGCTTACAATCATGTTGATGACTGGTTCAATGCTAAAAGCGGTGTAAAGACACACCGAGTCACTCACTCTCATGTCAATACAGACCGCCTCCGTGGTCTAGTGGTAGAGCGTCCGCCCGGAGAGCGGAAGGTCTGGGGTTCGATCCCCGACCGCGTCATACCAAAAGACGTTAAAAGATGGTACTTGTTGTTACCCTGTCTGGCGCTCGGCATGAGGTGCTAAAACAAGGACTGGTCGGCTCGGAGTCAGTATACTGTGTCTGAGTGGGGTATTCATGTTAAACTGCGGCATGGTATCTCAGTGAGCTAGCACTATAAATCGGCATCAGTCCGGACTAGTACAAGCAGCCACACAAACACACACACGTACATGCACGTCGCTATATAAGTGCAATAATCTTGGACGCGACGTTAAACCTCATTTCACCTCACCTCACCTCATGTCAATACATGAGAGTTCCTTTATTGTTGAATGTTGATGAACACCGCAGCAATATCCCAGCTATAGCAGAACGTAAATAATCAAGTGTGGACCAGGGAAACAAGTGAGTGATAACATGAGCTACTATCCACGCCATCGGGAACGCGCAATCAGCTACGTCATACATTAAAACCACCCTCGTTTCAGTCGGCTCGTACAACCAGCAAAGCTTAAGGTATTAAGTTTGGGTTACAGAGAAACCAATACAAGCATGAAGGAAGTCTAACCCCTTCTCCTTTTGAAATCCTACTAAACATTTATACAATGTGGGTTGTACATGCGTGCTCGGGTATATAGTTAAGAGTATCGAAACTCACTCATTTCATCGTCCCGTGAAGAGCCAGGGTAGAATAGGTCTTCAGCAACCCATGCGTGCCGTAAAAGGCGACTGTGCTTGTCGTAAGAGGCGACTAAGGGGATCGGTTGGTCAGGCTCGCTGACTTGGTTGATGCATTTCATCGTATCCCAATTGCGTGGATCGATGCTCATGATGTCAATTACTGGATTGCCTGGCCCAGACTCGATTATTTACAGACCGCCGTCATATAGGTGGAATATTGCTGAGTGCGGCGTTAAACAACAAACAAACAAACACTCATTTCAACACATGATGTCAACACAATTAACATGACTAACAAATGCAATATTATTCGAGGATTTACTTCAGTCACAACCAGCCCGTCAATAGGCAGGCTTAATTTTCGAATAATTTGTAACCACGCTTGTTGGGACAGAGCACGGAAGTGTTGTGGACCTGTACTAAACTGGGTACCCGATGGTTACAGTAATTATAAACTACTTACCCTCGTTATATGCGTGATCCCATCACATGTTCCGTCACCGCAGTCGCTGCATTAACGGCTGTACCCACCAGCTTCCACGTTCAATACTATGACGCCAACGACACACTGCAACAGCTGTGCCCCAATTATTCTGTACCTAATCAATAAACAGGTGGATGTGCCGACTCTTTTACAACTGACCTGCCAATTTGAGCTATTTGTTTGAGAACGGTTTTCTCATATATGTTCACGATGACCTCAGGGTTGTTATCAAAATTGTTGGTATATTTTAGCATTAGTTTTATATAGCGAATATATTGACATGTAGCTATGATTTGTTATTCAATAATGTACCGAAATTAGTCGAATTCAAGACAAAGGTAGTTATTGTCATAACGAGGATCTGATAATTGGCTTCTAGTGATTAACTGATATTTATTTAACGATATACCGTTATATTTGATCATTCTGATTTTCAGGGTGAATTTTCATTTTACCATTAATTTTAGTAAGGAATTTATTTTATATAATTTCTTGACGGACACAAAGTGGTACATTAAAATAGTGAAATAGTTATTATGCATAACGAAGTTTGAACACGTTGTGAACAGTATATTGATTTCTAGAAGAACGTGTGAGTATCGACGGGCCACTTACGCCAGATGTTACACATAGCTGGCCCCATTAACTCCCAACAACGGTTAGATCACAATAGGAATATATCTCAGTGTGTTAGCAGTATAAATGGGCATCAGTTCGGACTAGTACAAGCACGCACGCACGCACTCTCTCTCTCTCTCTCTCTCTCTCTCTCTCTCTCTCTCTCTCTCTCTCTCTCTCTCTCTCTCACACACACACACACACACACACAATTTTACTTCACTTCACGTGTAACAATGCGCATGGACCACCATGCTACCTCATAGCCTATAGGCAATTTCATCAAGGATGTGTGTGGTAGATGGGCTGTGTTAAAGACAGCTCTGTGTTAAAGACCAGTCATCTTATATTAGGGAAGGGTGAGGGTGTGGGTGTGTCTGTGGGTGTCTTTCTGTGTACGTCTGTAAAACAGTGAAATCTGGTTTTATGAACATTGCAGGTGGGTGAATGGTTCAAATTCAGGTGACTTCGTGAGTAAGACAAGTGATTGTTATTGTAGAAACATTAAACGGTTTATGAGATATGAAGTGACCCTCTTTCTCACCTTCCGTAAATGCTTGAATAAATTAAAGACCATTAAGTTAATTGTTCAAAAACATCCACTAAGTAATTTGTCAGTATACCCAAAAGATATTTCGACGTACACGTTTCATCTTTTCAATTTTTACTCTTCATAAAAAATTGCCAAAGGCGTAAGGCAGGTGCAAAGCGAATGGTCACATGTTGTACGAACTATATGCGGAAGGATCGGTCGGTATGAGGTTTACATTGAAAACATGCCATATCACTACGCCATACTGATAAGGTGACGGAAGAAGCCGAGTGGTCCCGAGTTTCACGTATGCATGGTCTCCTGAGTAAGTGGGTAAGTGTGATTTTATGCCGCTTTTATCAATATTACAGACATCCCACGACGGTGATAACTATAACTTTGAACCTTTATGGGGATTACAACCGGGTTTGAGAATAACGATAGAACGCTTTTATCACTAGGCTCCCCGACTGCCATTGATCACCTGATATATATAATATTGTTTGTTCATTGAATTTTAAGGCACGTAGCGGCCAATCTAAAACATGTTTCTGAAGCACCTTTTGTTTGTTTGTTGTTTAACGCCGGACTCAGCAATATTCCACCTATATGACGGAGGTCTGTAAATAATCGAGCCTCGACCAGACAATCCAATGACTGACATCATGAGAATCGATCTACGCAATGCGGATCGATGACATGCATCAACCAAGTCATCGAGTCTGACCACCTGATCCCGCTAATCGCCTTTTACGCTTAGCACAGTCGCCATTCAAGGCAAGCATGGGTTGCTGAAGACCTATTCTACCCCGGATCTTTACGGGTCGAATAGGGGCGGTCGGATGGCCTTATGGTTAAAGCGTTGGCTCGTCACGCCGAATACCCGGGTTCGATTCCCGACATGGGTACAATGTGTGAAACCCATTTCTTGCGTTTATATTGCTTGAATGTTGCTTAAAAGCTGCGTAAAACCATACTCACTCACTCACTAACATACGGGTCGAATAGTTCATCTTACAAAGACACACCTCATAATGATAGTTTTATGGTTTTAACTGTTTGAAAGGATATTCTTCCATAACATTCTCAAATTGGAACAAATCTTTAGGATATTTTGATGAGAATCAGCCAAAGTCCTAGAACTTTAACCTGACTGAAACCCTGCCTGACAACCAGCACTACCGCCTTGAACTACATTCCCGCGTTGAGGACACTCGGCCCACGGGTCTGATGCGGGTTCATCACGGGTTGCACGCGCCATAACGGTGTTCTTGCTCATTTCAGGAAAACTGCATTTGCACCCTTGGTACTACATGAAGCTCCGCTTTCATCTTAACACGGGTCCGACTTTTATTGTCAAGGGTGTTTTCCCTAAGAAACGCGTGGATAACAGGTTGCACTTGCCTATATATGTTTGTTTCTTTGTTGTTTAACGCCGCACTCAGCAATATTCTAGCTTTATGACGGCGGTCTGTAAATAATCGAGTCTGAACCAGACATTCCATTGATTAACATCATGAGCATCGATCCACGCAATTGGGATCGATGACATGCATCAACCAAGTCAGCGAGCCTGACCACCCGTTCCGTTAGTCGCCTCTTACGACAAGAATAGTCGCCTTTTACGACAAGCATGGGTTGCTGAAGACCTACTCTAACCCGAATCTTAACAGATCGCCCATAAAGGGAATTAACTTTGAGCATTAGTGTAGTGTGACCGTGCATACGGTGCGTTGTAGCTTGAACCTAAGTGTGAAGTGAAAATGGGTTTAAAGTCGCGTGTACACATACAGTTACGTGCACGCACGTGTGTGTTTGCTTATTGCTTATACTAGTTCGGTCTTCTAGTTTAATGGGGACACCCCATTGAGATACCATGTCGCCGTTTAACGTGGATATCACACAAATACACACATAATACTTACTCCGAGACGACCAGTCCTTGTTTTCGCCCCTTGATGCCGCACGCCAGGCAGGGAACAACAAATACCATCTTTTAACGTATTTTGGTATGACGCGGCCTGATTACTGGACCACTGACACGTTCTGTCCACTCGACCTCGGAGCTGGTGATCGAAGTAGAGTTAAACTAGAATAATATCTATTATAATCCTAACATCTGGAGGTGTAGGCGTTCTGGCAGGAATACAAAACAAAAACAAAACTTTAGAAATTACAGTCACTCAGGTTATGTTTTTTACTTTATTGAGTTGAGTCATTTTTGTTAACATGAGACATCAATCATGTCGTTCCCATGTTGATATTAAAGGGATATTGTAGAGAAACAACAACGCATCAACAAACAGCTGTAGCAGCGACAGATAACGGATGTCCTCAAATGTCCTCAGATGTCCAGAATTCCTCAGGCCAAGCGGCAATCAAGCTCCATCACGACGCGGGACATGTATCGCTGTGATGAGCTTAGTGAACTAAAGTCAGGATTAAAAAGAGGCACAACATGACTGTCATTCTGAGACGTCCATTTACTTCTACATTTACTTCTGAGAAATGACCGCCGATTGGATTTGTGATCGGTAATGTAATGTCATATTTTCTTCACATTATGGAAGTCAACTGTGTTGTGACCTTGACCTTCCTTCGTGTGGGTAGCAACTGGCACCTCATTTCTGCAGCAAATCGGTAAGCACGAATTTTATCCGGATTCAAACCCGGGGTAATCCTTTTCGATACCGTTACAGCCTCGTACAATTTTGCCTACATACATTCTTTAGATTTGGCATTTGTTCATAAAAAGTTACATTGAGCTGAAACGGCCCTTTCTGCTCCTCCCTGGCCCTATTAGACAACCATTCTTCCATACAATCCAGTGTCTGGCTCTGATAGTTTATATAAAACTTATTTGCAAACAGTTCTCGGCGTGACGTGAGCAAGGGGAGATCACCCACGCCAAAAATGCAGATTTCACGCACGCGCTTACCATGACATGGCCACTCAAAGGATTTCTCAGGAGCGTTCGGGCCCCAGTTTTTAAATCGAGCAATATAAGGTTTATTGTCATAATCTGTGGCGTAGTCATCACCTGAAACAAAGAGTACAGGAAGTAAGCCGGCATTCTTTCGGGTACCAGAGTGAGTGACTGTGGAGTGAGTGAGTTTGGTTTTACGCCGCTTTTAGCAATATTCCAGCAATATCACGGCGTTGGACACCAGGAATAGGCTTCACACATTGAACCAATGTGGAGAATAGAACCCGGGTTTTTGTGGCGTGACGAGCGAACGCTTTAACCACTAGGCTACCCCACCGCCCTTGTATGGGTACCAGAACCAGGACAGGTGGTGTTCTATGAGTGAGTTGGTTGGGTTTAACGCCGCTTTGAACAGTATTCCAATTCACGTCGTGTCAGTTTAATGTGGGAGGAAAACCCGAAGTGATGCAGGTCTCAGGCATTTACCACTATAGTGAAACCCACGAGCACGGTTATGGTGTTGAAAAAAAGGGAAACACAATCGGGGCGAACCGGGATTCGAAACCACTCCAAAAGGTAGATTGGGGTGAGGGGCGGGGCGGGGGTGGGGTGGTGGGTGTTCTTGATAGTTTACAATCACAGCAATAATCGCGGAGCTGCGTTTGCCGTAGAAAGCAGCCCAAATGGATTTTGTTCATCAGAGAAAATGAGCATTGGAATATGCCACGTGTTGCAATATTTCAGCAAAATCGCCACAGAGGACCCTACAAATGGTGCCCATGTGGAGAATTGAACTCGGTCCTTCTACGTGACTAGCGAATGCATTAACCACTTGGCTATCCCACAGCCTTTCAACGTTCCTCAAAATATAAAATGTGCCGATCATAGTAATGCAGGAAGAGCTCACTCACTCACTCACTCACTCACTCACTCACTCACTCACTCACTCACTCACTCACTCACTCGGGGCGTCCTTTACCCTATGCTGTTACTGGCGTGAAGGTCCTCAGGTAATTTCCTTTTACGTCAAATGGAATCTGTTTCGGCAGAAAATCTAGGCTGGTTATTGACTATTCACAGTAAACTACGTTTGTAACGAACACGCTTATAACGAACTGCCGGATATATCGAACTTATGTTTTGGTTATGGCCATTTGTCTTTTGTATGCTGTACATATGCCTATAACGATGTACATATGTTAAAACGAACTAAACTTAGTAGCCCCTCTGAGTTCATTTTAACCGTAGTTTACTGTTTATTTACCTTGAGGGGGCACAGGTGGCGCAGTCGTCTAAGGCGCAGTGATTCGCTGTGCAGAGTTGCGTCCCTTGGGCACGCCAGAAACCTATGATTGTGGGTTCGAATCCCGGTTCGCCCCGATTATGTTTCTAGGTTTGTCAGCACCATACCCGTGCTCGTTGGTTTCACCTAAGTGGTAAACGTGAGACCTGCATCACACTGGGCTTTCCTCCCACATTAAGCTGACACGCCGTGATATAACTGGAATAATGTTAAAAGCGGCGTTAAACCCAACTCACTCACTCACTCACTATTTACCTAGAAATGAGCCCGGAACTCTCAATGACGGGCTGTGATTTAGCGAGGGAAAGAACGTTTCGTCCGGTATCCTTGTGTTTCTCAGCCATATGGTGAAGTTGTGGACTACAGGACTGTGGAGGACATAGCCTACACACTCTCTGGAAACTAGAACGTGAGTATTTCCCTTGTGTAGGCTGATGCCTGCTGGAGGAGGTCCTGCTCCAGACCATCGAATGCGCTTCCACTTTTCCCTGGCAAGAACACGAGAGAGTAGCTTGTTTGGTTGTTGTTTTACGCCGCACCCAATATTCCGGCTGCATCACGACGACCTGTAAACATTCGAATCTGGACGAGACAAGCAGATGTTCTCGTGAGCAGCGACACGCGTCGTCGGCAGCAGCGACTCACAGAGAATGTCCACCCGAACCCCTTATCGCCTCTCACGACTAGCAAGACCCGTGAAGATTCGGGTAGAAAAAGTCTTCGGGAATCCATGATTGCCGTAAAAGGCGACTATGCTTGTCGTAAGAGGCGGCTATGGGATCGGGTGGTCCGGGTCGCTGACTTGGTTGATACATGTCATCGTATTCCAATTGCGTGGATCGATGCTCATGATGTCATTCACTGGATCGTCTGGTCCAGACTCGATTATTTACCGCCGTCGTAGAGCTAGAATATTGCTGAGTGAGGCGTTACAAAACTAACAAACAAACAAATAATACAGTGAGTGGCTGATTGAGTGACATGGGTCAAATTTAATTTGGTCCCGTATTTGGAATAAAAATATTGGTATTTTAAAATCCCTAGCCAATAATGTATAGCAAAGAAATTCTTAACATGGTTTGAACTTGATAACACGCCTGGACCCATAAAGATCAGAATAGGTAGGTCTTCAGCAACCCATGCTTGTAAGGCGACTAACGGGACTGGCTGGCTGGTCAGGCTCGCTTACTTGGTTGATGCATGTCATCGTATCCCAATTACGTAGATCGATGCTTATGATATCAATCACAGGATTGTCTTAAAATCAGTGGTATCTTAAAATCTGTGCTGTGTTAAACAACAACAAAATTACAACCAGCAATAGAGTGAAGGAGGCCTGTTATAATCGGAACCCGGATTTTGACTAAAATACCCATCTTAGATATTTTGAATTGTTGGATAACATATGATCCTCTACTTCTGGAACTCTTTCTCCTTTGGGAGAATACCACAGCAGATTTTGGTCTGTTGACATTCACGTTTCATATTTTACCGGATACCCTAAGCGAGCTATTTAGTCCAGCAAAAACAATCCTAATTCTTTTCCCGTCGATACAAGATCTTGTTTAACCGGTTGTGCTCACATTATTAAGTTCTGTGGAATCACTTAGTCACCACATATATGAGCCTCTTTGTTTAACAGGTGAACGATTTGTAGTTGCCTCCCTTAGTTGGCAGAGTTGCCTCCCGTAGTTCTCAGAGTTGGCTCCCGTAGTTGTCAGAGTTGCCTCCCGAAGGCGTCCCAGACACCTATGATCGTGGGTTCGAATCTAAGATTCGCCTTAATGATGTTACTAGGTTTCTCAGCACCATACAGGGGCGGTCGGGTAGCCTAGGGGTTAAAGCGTTCGCTCGTCACGCCGAAGACCCGGGTTCGAATCCCGACATGGGTACAATGTGTGAAGCCCATTTCTGGTGTCCCCCGCCGTGATAATGCTGGAATATTGCTAAAAGCGGCGTAAAACCATACCCACTCACTCAGCACCATACCCATGCTCTTAATTTTCACAACCGTGATAAATGTGTCAGACCTGCATCACTAGCTCCACCCTCCCCTCCCCTTACAAGCTGACACGCCCAAGCTGTTCAAAGCTGCGTTAAACCCAACTCACTCATTAACTCGAGTTCACTGAATATTTTAAACCATGAATACAAACAGACTTACACTTCTTTCTCTGCATCAACAATATTGGCACCTTTGAGGGTCTTCAGAATCCTGACAATCTCACGGTTGGTCTTGAGAGGAAACTCAGTCCCAGTCAAATTGATAAAATACTTCCAGTGTGGATACGCCCACAAGTCCTCCATGCACTTTAAATCCGCTTTCAGAACGGAAAGGGTGCCCCATCTCACATTGATCTGTGCTGATGCTAAAAACACATTAGGCAGACAGTCCACAATAGCTTTAGTATCAGTCATGTCCTTCTTATACATTTTCTTGTCCACGTGAACACAATAGAAGTTGGATGGTCTGTAAATGGCTCTGAGAAGCCTCTCCACCTGCTCCACATTCTTGTACATTACTATACTAAACGCGAGAGGGAACCCAGTCTCCTCAGCACTAACGTCCATGATGTAGCCCCTCTGCTTTAAGAATCTGGTACAGTTCTTGGTCATGTCAGTAAACGACAGTGTCGGCTTGTAAGGGTGAGTCTCTCCATACACTATGGCTTCTTGTATCTGACTCACGTTTCCGTCTATAAGGTCTCTACACTGAGGTCTAACATGTCCTGTTAATGTCTTTGTCATGTGGTGACCATGCACACCAGTCTGATTCATGTTTTTTGGGATGTTGTTGTTCTTTTGAATCCCGTTCCTGTTCCTGTTCTTGTTTCCGTCCATGTTTTTGTATGGTTTGGGTTTGAATGTTTCACTTCCAATTTTGCGGAACTGGGAAAGATGTGACAAGTGTAATCCCTTTTTACCATTGACGCTGATATTTACAGTCTTTGATGGCATATTTTGGTTGCCATTTTCTTTTGGAACATTGGTGTGTATGTCTTTGGCATATAGTTTGATAGATTTGTTTGATATAGTTGCTATGGAAACATTTCCACTGACCAATGGGGTGATCAAGTTGATTTGCGGTTGTGCATCTTCCCTCGATCGTAAGCCATGAGTCTTTCGTGTAGCATGTATGTATATCACAACGTGGATTGCACTAAATATTACGCTGATGAAGACAGACAGACAGACGAGCCTTCCTATATGAGGCGACGGGACCAGATGATACATCTGCAAAAATATATACAGTAAATTACGGTTATAACGAACACGGTTATAACGAACTAACGGATATAACGAACTAACTTTTTAGTCCCGACTATATGCTGTAGTTATGCTGTATATATGCTTATAACGAATTACGGTTATAACGAACTAAAATTAGTAGTCCCTTTGAGTTCGTTATAACCGTAGTTTACTGTATTCGTATTCACGTGTGTGTGTGTGTGTGTGTGTGTGGGGGGGGGGGGGGGGGGGGCTGCTTGTACTAGTCCGGACTGATGCCGATTTATAGTGCTAGCTCACTGAGATACCATGCCGCAGTTTAACATGAATACCCCACTCAGAAACAGAATACTGACTCCGAGCTGACCAGTCTTTGTTTGAGCCCCCTAATGCCGAGCGCCAGACTGGGTAACAACAAATACCATATTTTAACGTCTTTTCGGTATGACGCGGACCTCGGACTGAACCCCAGACCTTCCGCTCTCCGGGCGGACGCCCTTCCACTAGACCACGGAGGCGGTCTAATGGCTTTGGTACTGACAAACCAATTATTCTATTAGCAGGACGAATGTGGGATTCGAAACTGTCATCAGTTGGATGTCATTCGGGGAGGCAACTCGACACAGCGAAATGCAACGCTTTGATCACAATCCCGCCAGCTGCCACCTATTTTACGACTAAATTTAGCGAATAACAAGTTAACTACAATACTAACCTTTCACCTGCTGCCTCACTCACTCTGGGAAATCTGGGATGTCGGGATGAGACATTAGCGCAGCTATTTAACATTAAAATTCAAGATTTAGCCCTTGTCAGGGCGTAAGAAGTCGCCGACAGTGTAAACCCAGGTATGTAGTCACCGAGTGTGACAAAAGCGAATCTACAATCAGCATAGCAACAGATGTTCTCCAGTACAATACGGAGCCTGTTCAATCTTCCATAATACATGCACATTCAGAGAGGCTTTATCGACGACTTCTATGCAGGGCCGTAACGTCAATAGTCAAGTCAATACCCACTCCTTCGGTTGCGTAAACGTCATAGTTACACAACGTCATGTGATCGATTAAATTGGGTCAATATATTACTCAAAAGCCCGATTCTTTCATATTACTATAGTTAGAATGCCATGTTACATTAACAATAATCATATAAAAAAATCGGGTGTTCTTTAACTCTTTAAGTAGTATGTAATTAACAAATTGAGACTTAAAGGGAAATATAACTGTCGCAATCTGCTTCTAACATAATGTTTATGTACTTAGTGAGCGAGCGACCAGGCAAACTTAAGGCTGAAGGGTGAGGGCAGGGGTGGCCCAGTCGTCTAAGGCGCTGCGATTCGCTGTGCAGAGTTGCGTCCCTTGGGCACGCCAGAAACCTATGATTGTGGGTTCGAATCCCGATTATGTTTCTAGGTTTGTCAGCACCATACCCGTGCTCGTGGGTTTCACCGAAGTGGTAAACGTCTTCGACCTGCATCACTTCGGGCTTTCCTCCCACATTAAGCTGACACGCCGCGGTATAAATGGAATACTGTTAAAAGCGGCGTTAAACCAAACTCACTAAGGATGAGGGCATGAGCAATGATCTGCCTGGTACATATGGAACCGTCCGATCTCCATTAGAATATAGTGACCTTGTCATAAGAGCCGGCTAAATGCATCGTGTGGTCAAGCACGGTGAATTGGTTTTCGTATCTCAATCACTGGAATGTCTGGTCCAGAAACGATTATTTCTAGTGCGGTGTTAAACAACCAAGTTACAACCAAAATATAAAACAACAAACATTAGATGCAGTTTACGGCATGCAGGAATACTGAGGACCTTGTCTGATATGGAGCTGTCACGAACTCTTTGTATGAATAGGCAATCAATTGTAAAAAGGGCAGATGGAAAACCCGAGGCATTTGATGCACATTTGTTTACTATACAGACGCTCCTTAAATAGTGTCAGACTGAAACCTTGGTTTAATTACACATCAAGGATGAACGTGTTGCCATTATCTGTAGCCAATTATTTGTAGCCCACAACTACGACGGTGTTTATATGAACATTGACAAGAATACTCTGCTGGTTCAAAGGATACCATTATTATGATATATGTCCCAAGTCACAACAGGCAAGGTACTTGTCTAAAGATACAACAAGCAAGACGCTTGCCCCAGGATACAACAGGCAAGGTACTTGTCTCAAGATACAACAGGGAATATACTTGTCCCAAGATACAACAGGCAAGACGCTTGTCTCAAGATACAACAGGCAAGGTACTTGTCCCAAGATACAACAGGCAAGGTACTTGTCTAAAGATACAACAGGCAAGGTACTTGTCTCAAGACACAACATGGATTATACTTGTCCCAAGATACAACAGGCAAGGTACTTGTCTCAAGATACAACAAGCAAGACGCTCGTCCCAAGATACAACAGGCAAGGTACTTGTCTCAAGATACAACAAGCAAGACGCTTGTCCCAAGATACAACAGGCAAGGTACTTGTCTCAAGATACAACAGGGAATATACTTGTCCCAAGATACAACATGGATTATACTTGTCCCAAGATACAACAGGCAAGACGCTTGTCTCAAGATACAACAGGAAAGGTACTTGTCCCAAGACACAACATGGATTATACTTGTCCAAAGGTACAACAGGCAAGACGCTTGTCACAAGATACAACAGACAAGGTACTTGTCTCAAGACAAAACAGGGAATATACTTGTCCCAAGATACAACAGGCAAGACGCTTGTCTCCAGATACAACAGACAAGGTACTTGTCTCAAGACACAACAGGTAAATACTTGTCCCAAGATACAACAGGCAAGACGCCTGTCACAAGATACAAGAGGCACGACGCTTGTCCCAGGATACAATAGGCAAAGCGCTTGTCTCAAGATACAACAGGCAAGACGGTTGTCCTATGACACGACAGGCAAGACGCTTATGCCACGGTACAACAGGCCAGGTACTTGTCTATAGATACAACAGGCAGGGCACAACGGGCAAGACACTTGTCTCAAGATACAACAGGCAAGACACTTGTCCCAAGATACAACAGGCAAGACACTTGTCCCAAGATACAATAGGCAAGACACTTGTCCCAAGATACAGTAGGCAAGACCCTTGTCTCAAGATACAACAGGCAAGACACTTGTCCCAAGATACAATAGGCAAGACACTTGTCTCAAGATACAACAGGCAAGACACTTGTCCCAAGATACAATAGGCAAGACACTTGTCCCAAGATACAACGGGCAAGACACTTGTCCCAAGACACAACAGGCACGGTTTTTGTCCTACAACAGGGCATACACGTCGAGAAATAGACACTCACTGACACACATTGACAGATGCCACCAACGTCTGACTGAGAATGTCACAGACTGTGGCTGTGATCGATGGTCGGTGATCGATTACTAATTCATTCGTGCCAAATGTCATCTGTGTCTGATGACAGCGATTCTCCAGATCGTGTTCTTTCATTTTCAAAGTTACTTTTCGTTAAAATGAGGAAATAAACTCACGACCAAACAACTTTACCACTTCAAAAATGAATTTGCGAAAATGTAAAAACACAGGTTCAAACTATATAAATGCTAAACACATCGTCCAAACACAACAGTGCTCTATGCAGAAAGATTTTCACGTCCACGGCACGTTTTCGTTTGTAGAAAATGCGAAAAAGAGAAAAACACGTGTCGCTTGGGCAGCTGAAACTACACGTGCAATAATGGTATATAAATGATACGGACGGCGTGTCAGACACTCACACTGATAAAAAGAACATCACAGAAATGCCACGACTGACACCTGAACAACGAGAGCGGGCCCTGGGTATGATACGGACAGGTGTCAGCCATGTCCACATTGTTAGAACTCTTGGTTGGTCCCGTATTGCTGTCACTAGCCTGATGCAACGTTACAGACATCTTTCCGAAGCAAGAGCGTTCACTAGCCTTTTTATCAAAGTCCTGTTTCCACCCATGCCACATCAAGCCTACTTTCCTGTGCTAAATATGATTGGACAACCGCATATATTGATAGTCCAACCAGAGAACGTTTCACAAAATAAACATCCACGACTGGTACACCTTCGCCCTACATCAATTGGGGAAACTGAGATGCTAACATCAGATGCTGTAGCTGTCATTTTAAATGCTGATTTCGTTGAGACTTTGACATGGGTACAATGTGTGAAGCCCATTTCCGGTGTCCCCCGCCGTGATATTGCTGGAATATTGCTAAAAGCGGCGTAAAATCATACTCACTCACTCTCTCACTCACTCGTTGAGACTTTGATCTTTTCAATGCATTTTACTTCATCCATGTTCTTTCTAACTTTGGTAAAGTTTCTGTTGGCCGTGTGTAGATGTTGTATTATTGACTATCGTTAGCTGTAAGCAAAAAAGGCTTTCGGCACAACATAAAGACGCCATGGACGTAATAGGTGGTAAACTGTAAACGTGGCACTATTTTTTCAAAGACGCCAAATGCCATCGAGACAACTTCTATCCACTAGCACGTACATGTATAAAATTGATAACATTTATTTATCATATAACAGGTAGGTTTCTCGGCAGGATAAAGCCAACGGATAAAAACGTTTTTCGTTGGGGTCATATGGGGTCATAGAGATGCAAATATCAAAGGTCAAGTAGGGACTACTTTCAGTGTTTATAAACAGACATGTCGTCGCCCTTGTCATTCGGCGATCGAGTCAGAATTAACCATCGGGAATCTGGAGAAACTACTGTGATAATTGTTATCATTATCCAAAGAATAGTCTTCTATACTGAAAATCAGTGTCTAACTGTGACGTAGCTGAATCATTCTACAAATTTCAGCAACTTTGGAGATATAAATTGCGAAACAATTTTGCAAGGGCACTAGCTCAGCGGGATCAGTTTCCATCTGTGCTTGTAGACCTGTACAGCTTGGAACCTTTTCCACAAATTAAAATAGCTGGATTTGGCCGATATATGTTCGAATTACCTTGTTTCGTTTTGTCGCTGTGTACATCTGACTGCACTTCGTAACGTTGTGGTAGGACAGGCCGACTGTCAACAACGTCTTACTGTGGCCGTGACGTCTCATAGACCAAGGTTAGAGTAGCTTCCCTTTGATAAAGGGCAGTTACTCTATTCGACAGACCGATGGATTGCCGCGAAAGGCAAGTAATAACAATGTGTGTAGGCAATTGTTGATTTGTGCATAATTATGTAGTTTCACCACTTTATAAGAAACGGCATTCGTCACCACTCGCCCCTTTCCGTAACCTGCAAGAAGACTCGTCCCCCTATCGATGAATGTTATGTGCGAAAATACGACAAACCAATCAGAATGCGCGTATGATTTCAAGTTCTTCATCAAAGAATCCCTCAGAAATAATTTTTGATTTTGCATATGCCCTGCGTCTAAAAATATACCCAAGACACAGTTAAGTGTGTTCAATCACACTGTATAATTCCGCACGTCCCGATGTGCTTTAAATTGCATCTGAAATATATATAATATATGGGGAAATATGTGAGAACCATTACGCAACGAGTTGACAATGGTTTTAGGTATGCCCGTTTGCGCTAAGACGGAACCCGGTCGCACAAAATGGCCATGAGAGGGGCCATGTCCCGGAATAACACGAGTTGGTCACGAATGTAAGAAACGGGTTTCAGTTGGATCTATACTGGCTACTGTCACTCTCCGACTGACACATCACTTACCCTCTCACGTAATATATATTAATGCGCACATTCCAGGAAAACGTGCAATATTTACGTAATGTTTGTAAGAGATTTTCGAGCACGGACCTGAAGAATGACACAATACGATAAAGAGGTCATCAAG